AACCCCACTGGAGCTCACAGTGATTTGATTTGAATTTGCAGTTTTTCTCTCTCAGTACTACAAAGACACACATGCGCACACACACACACACATATTTTTTTATAACACACATACTAACCACACTCTGACATCCATACCAACACACCCACACAAATATTGTTGCATAATTTATCCAGTTGGCTCTATAATATGCCGAACCAGAAAACAGGAATAATGTAATATTTGTTTTAAAAATCTCAAACCTCTTAACAAAGATTGCATAATTTTATAGTTAAATGAACCGGGGATTAAAAATGGCAGTTTTAATGGGTTTCAATGGGGACATTTTTGTCCAAAAGGGGCTGAGAGGGAGTATTTTTTGTACCTAATGCAAAAAAATATTTTTTTTAAGAAAATGGCGGTGAAATAGTAAAATTCCAATAAAAATACACACCTGTGCCAAGTTTTTTGCAGTTAGCTTTAACACAGGCAAAGTGATCAAAAAAACAAAACTGAAAAGGACAAAAATGTCCATAAGGATGCACAAGGGTTAAAATTTTAAGTTCATTGAACTGGAAAAAGTGAGTTAATACAATGAAGGAGATTAATTTAATCATCAGAAACTCAAAATTATATGTTATCTGAACTAAATAAATTATTTAAGTTGATTTGACAAAAGAGAAAATGTTGTGATTACTACACTGTAAAAAAATATTGTTGGTTTAACTTAAAGTAAGTAACCTGGGTTGTCTTAAAATTTTAAGTTGATTGAACTGGAAAAAGTGAGTTAATACAATGAAGTAGATTAATTAAACCATCAGAAACTCAAAATAATAAGTTATCTCAACTAAATAAATTATTATAAAGTTGATTTGACAAAAGAAAATATGTTGTGATAACAAATCTTGAAAATATTTTTTACAGTGTAACCAAGGGGCGCCTATATATGAAAAAAACGACATGTCCCACAATGCACAGCTCGGCAAGCCACACCCACTAATCCGGAACAGCCCGTCTATGGGAACAGCACAAACAGAGAATTCACTCTTCCGTCTACAAGGCTAACATTAGCTGTCACCGGAGTTTGAAATTCATTTCACACAAAATGTCTAGTTGGCTGTGGCGAGCAGGACAATCGAGGGCGAGGGACGTAACTTAAGAGGACGCCGGTGGCGTGTGTTATAACAGAGACTGATAATGAAAGACACCTGTGAGGCGCGATCCGGTCTTGCATTTCTCACGGAGAAAAGAAAGCATAAAACGGGGAGCGACGACGGCAGATCGAGAGAGAAACAGGCCTGATTTTATGTTGTGTTTTGTTTCTGTTGTGTGTAACGTTACAGCAGTCGCCAATGAGGGGCTGCTGGCTTATACTTTCGTTTTGTAATTGTTCATTTTACTATTAAAATGCTTAAATGTTCACTGGTTCCTGTCTCCTTCTTCCCACAACAAACCCTAACGTTACATTGGCAAACTCATTAGTGAATTACTCCTCATTTGTATTTATTTCTGTTTGGTGAATTACTGCATGATACCTGGATGTTTAGTCAGGCGAAACTAGGATTCACATCACAACACAAACGTCCGTGTTTTGCCGAGATTTCGTTATTTTTAGAAAAGTGAAGCCACACTTTGGATCGCCGACGTAAGGTACTCATGTTCGACTCGCGTGGTTATACCAACACTTCCGGTAGACGCTTCTTGTGTTGTTCAGTGGTTTCTTCTTCTGCTCTGGTGAATATCAAAACTAGGAATCGAAATTTTAACTTTTGAACGATTCCGGGAAAAACGAAAAGTTAGTCTCGGTTCCAATCGATACTCGATTCTCAATACCCAACCCTAACTACAAATGACATCTTCACTGGTGTTCTTAGATTAATGTATAATAATTACTATCTCTAGAAAGTATTGTCTACATATTACTAATTGCTAAATCCTATATCAACCTCAACCACTTGAACAATACAAGGAGGAGAGACAAGAAACTGCACTTTTAATTCTTTCAAATTAACAATATACAATTGCATGAATTATTCTTGAATTGATCAAAGTGTGTAGAGGGAGAAGGTTACATAAAAAAATGTACCTTTTAAAAATGTATGTTTAATCCACTATTGTTTTATACTGAATTGGTCTATAGTTTATGCAGTAGCCTATTTAATTTAATTGCATCATATTTTATTTTAAATTACAGAAGAATTAAGAGTAATCCCTTTAAGTAAATTACAATATTTAGATTACTTGGTTATTAATTACACCCAACACCTTTTTGTCTGGCGCTGTTGCCATGGTGACTCATAATATCTGCGCTCCAAACTCAGAGTTGCTTTAACTCAGAGTTGGTTGAACCTCCTTATTGAAACGGGCACCAGGTCAAAACTAACTGTCAGAATAAATGATTATACCCCATGAATCAAAGACAAATGACCAAATGATCTGTAATAAAAAAGGTCAATAGGCCAAAAACGAAATATCAATTTCATTGATCGATAGATGGAATCCAAAAGTTCAAAGGTTCATTCCTACTTCAAAGATGGAATGTCAAGGTCAAAGGCTAGCACCTGTCCGCCCACCTGTCAATCATCTGGTAATAAATCATCTTGACACAAGCTGTAGGGTTATAACTACTGCCATTTTATTGCCATGGTACATGCATCATGTGCTTGCAAATTAAAAATGAGTTTTGTAAACATACTGCAAATAAACCTGGCGGGGTATATGAGGCTAATTTGGATCATATCATAATGAATATGTGTCTCTGTCTGAGCCTTACTCATATAAGCAGGGTTACACTGAGGACAAGCTCAACTGGCCTTCAGTACCACACAGACATTGAGTCCTTTGTTGCCGAAGACAAAACAGTATCTATCAGCGGGGAGGACAGTAGAGCATAATCTACCCACACAACACATACAGATCCATCCAACTTACAGGGTTCAGGCTATATTTTAAGAGTGAATCACTTTGCTATCAGTATTGCTAACTCTAGTTAGGTTATTAGATATTGTAATTATATTTTTATAATGAAATGTGCAGTAAGGGATTTCTGAGAAACACTGTTGATATTTGAAATCAACCCAAACAAACACACCCCTCCCTTGAACCAAATTTTTGTTTGAGATAGGGAACCAATCACAGAACAGGGAGGGAGCGGCAAGACGACGACGATGTCTATGCGACACCAAAGCAGTTTGTTTATATCTATGGATCCATCTTGGCAGCAGACGCGAAGTTAACTTTTGATACAGCCTTTGAGTATACCTACCATAAAACTTATCAAATAATAGCCTGAGCCTCTATTTGAGACCGGCTTTTATTTACCCAAACCTGCAGTCACACCAGACGTGCAAAAGAGACTCGGCTATTGAGACTCTATTGGCCTATTGGGTATTATTTGAAGTTTTACGTTAAATCCATAGACAGTTAAAGAAATGGACAAAGCGACCCCACTGATTTCAAGACACTTCCTGTCTGATGTCTAAGCGACAGCGCAGTCTCAAACTGAGCATGACGACAATCTGACAGTTGTAAATCTTCTAGTAGCTGTGCCAAGCCAAAACGTTGAAATATATTCTCCCATTGCTTTTATGGACTCTCTATTTATGGGCTTCTCCCATAGACGGTAAAAGGCTTCTCCCTCGACTTTGTGCCTCCATGTCCCCCTGATTGCCTCATAGACAGTAAAAGATTGCCTGCGAGCTTCTACGTCTATGTCTCTATTGTGCCACAGAAAGTTGCATAGTGATGATGTAATCGTTAGCCTATTTTTCACAAAAACGGCATCTACAGGGCGATAGCGTAAGATACAAAGTAATGGAGCGTTTTATACATTGCTGTGTTTCTTTGGAAATAAATAATGGACAAATGAAGTCTTTGGACGCCTCAGATGTAAAGTTATTCACTGTCAAAGTGAGACCAAAATGAATGGGAGTCAATGGAATGCTAACGGCAGGTGAAGTTCTGCCACAATGGCGGCTCCCGCGAGGCTTCAACTTCCGGCTGATGGATTACCCCTTTAGTTAAATCTCCTAATTCTCTGATTCTCTTGTCTAATTTTCTGTCGCTCTACATACGTCATCTGGCATCATTGACCCGATTGGCTATGAGCTACGTACAGGCGCATTTGATAGACATTCGTAGCACCCAATAATATGGCTCTGGGCATTCGTAAACCACGCCTCAAATACGAGAAATTTAACATGTGGTTTCCAGACCACGTTTCTTTCTTAATGATACGTTGTCTGGCGTTAGCCAGGCTATACAGCACCTTTAATGCAAAGCGCCTTGTCTAGCACTAAACGTATCACCCAGTGTACAGAACTACACACTTGTCTTTACACGATGAAATTAAAACTTGACATGTGACTCTAAATTGATTTTAAAATAACTATATCAGTAGAAAACCCTACAGTAGACATCTTGAGGATGTGGGACAACAGGTCATCAAACTGGGCGCGGGACAGGCGGAAGTACCGCTAACAGCGAACGTCATCCAGACGCAGCTCCTGGAGCGAGCAAATGGTGAAACTCGCCAAACGGTTCACCTACGAAGGGTCCGGTGGACACAAATACGGCAACGATGATCCCCACGCCGCTGTTCTGCTCTCCAGAGCAAATAGAGAGCGGTGACTCACTCGATGAATGCTCGGTCGACATAAAAAAAAGATGGCCGCGAACGGGTTTTGAATCCGGCGCACGTAAATTTCGCTTCAAACTTTTATTTTACGCATGTAAGTTTAACTCTTGGCACGTGAACTAACACAAAGTGGTCAGGCGTCAAACAAGACACGGTAGACGCAAATTTGACGTGCAATTCGCGTCTGGTGTGAACGCATAGTGACGCAAGGGACCCAAAGACTTGATCTTTAATGAAGGTTCATTTTCATAAATAGCTTTTTTCTCTTTTAATCACTCTAGATGTTTTTAAGGACGACATTCAAAATTCAAACACCTTGAAACCATAACAATTAAAATCAAGTCATTTTCAAACTCTGTGTCGAACCCTGAACTAAACACTCGAATGAAATAATACTGTAGTATTTTATTCACGTTAAACACAAAACGGTAAAAAAACAAATGACATTTTCTCTTTAAAAAACAAACAGTGACATCAGAAATATCAAGCATTAACAGTATATTAGATAAGTACTGAAAATTCAGTGTGAGGTATGTGTCTCTGGATTGATGGAGGATAAGTCCATCATTATGCTTCTTAACACTAATAATAATAATAAAACATACACACTGTACAGAGTCCATTAAAAAACACCTATGTAGAAATGTTCAGTGTAATCATGTTAGCGGAGTGGCATTTCAGAACAAATTCATTTTTGGTCAGAGGCAGAAGAATTTGCTCATTAGCACCATGATCAGTATCATATTGTTTCACTGGCCCAGGATCAGTGCATTAAGGCAGTTAAAGTCACAAGTTAACGTGGATATCTATTACAGAGCATGATTACGTCCCTGTGGTAAGTGCTTTAAAGAATAGAGACTACTGTTTATATGACTATACTTGTGTTGGTTGAGTACTAGTGACAAGCGCAGGGATGTGAACAGTGTTGGGCACTAAAGAGGTCTGACAGCCCAGCTCATTGGTCACCTGTACTTGAGTACTGTTGATCTCGGGCTGGTTGGTCTTCGGGTCCTCATCTTCATCGTTTTGCTGCTCTTCAAACAGGTGTTCTTCCTCTTCAGACAGCTGTGTATCTTCAGCTCTCTCCTCCTTCTGTTAAAAAAACAACAAAAACATTACAATATGCCAATTCTGAAACTAGCCTTTTACAGTGAGTGAATATAAATGACTGCAGCACCTCTCTCTTTGACCTGCTGTATTCATCTATGGCATACTGGTATTTAGCTGAGGTGATGCCGAAAAGAGATGCCATTCGCTCACCCAGGTAGTCACAAGCTGTAAGATTGGAGATAGTTATAGAATACGAATTTTTACAAATGTGTAAAACAGTGTCTCAATTTTCTGCCTACATTTTTTTAAAAGCTTAATGGATCTCTGAAGAGATTAAAAGCTTTACTAAATGTAAACTAGATAGCAGCATACAAAAATAATCATATATTTAGGGCTCAAAAGTGTTTCGGTGTTTTCCATATTGGAATACAACATCAAAACCGCCATGACATAATCATTTAACATCATCCACAATGGCCTGAGGAAGATTTGCTTCCCATTCCCACAGACACAAACATTAGGCCAGAAAACGCTTTTTAATCCCCAGGCATGATTACTTATGCACATTTTATTATGTCATTATGCCATAGAATATGAATAGGATTTTATGAATAGGAAGTTTTATTTCCAACTTCCAAGCTAAGATTGTTGTTAATTTTGTAGAAGCTGATGTGATGTTAAAAAGGCCCTATTACACCCTTTTACAAAGTCTTCATTTTGTTTTTGGACTCTACTAGAATAGGCTTTCATGCTTGAATGTTTAAAAACATCATTTTCCCACATATTTTACATCGTTATGGCTCTTCCCAATCTGTCTGTAATGATCTATTTAGTTCCTGTATCAATGAAGCCCCTCCTTACAAAAAGTGTAATGTGCTCTGATTGGTTGGCAGAAGTGTGTGTTTTGATTGGTAAACCAATGAGCGTGTTTCAGTAACAGACTTACCGGATATAGTGGATGTAGCTGCTCTCCACATTTGAAACCAGACATACGGACCCCAAGTCAGCTTGGACTTTAAAAAAAAAGATAAAAATACAGTTATGTACTGTCGTTCGAGCTCGATCTCATTAAAGTTCGTATCTAGCACGAATGTCATTTCTCGTGGCATTTATACGCCAAAAACGTTTTTTTTTTTGCGTGTATATGGTACGCGTTTTTCGCGTGCATGATTCGCACTTTTTGGCGTATAATACGCACAAACTCCCCACCCCCCTCTCCCCTAAGCCTACCCCAGGGTTTTTTAGTGCGTAGCATAAGCGCGCAAAAAAACATTTTTGCCATATAAATGCCACGAGAAATGACATTCGTGGTATAGATACGCATCTTCATGAGACTGTTTTGTCATTCTCTTATTTTTTTACCTCAGGATAGTGCCAAAATGTACCTCATGTTGTCTCAAACCAACTTTCTACAGTGGAACACAAAGGATGTTCTGAAAAATGTCGTCTTTTGCATTTCACAGAATTCATACGAGTTTGGAAGGACATGAGGGTGACTAAATGATGAACTATCCCTTTAAGGGCCATTCAGAGGATTTGTTCAAACACACACATACTGTGTCCATGGAAGATAGAAGTTCTTTCTTTGCGTTCTGTCTTTTGTCCTCCTCCTCTTCATCTGTGCTGTATTCTTCCATGGTTTCCCCACTGGAGAAATGAATAATGCGGCGCGGGGTCTTCTCTTTTCTGTCTAGATCACCAAGCTCCACACACTCGTATTCTTTCTCTTTTCCAGAGCTCTGTCCCCAGGCGCACACACACACACACACACACACACACACACACACACACACACACACACACACACACACACACATCACATATCATCAATATTAGGAATAAGTTGATTATGTACAAAATGATGGGGTTTTAAACTGAAATGAGGGAAGAACATTACTCAGTGTCATTACAAAAAAGAAATTAACAATGGTAGTTTACAAAACACCACAGTATTGTTGTGTTTGTTGAATTTATTCTAATATCAAATTAAATGTACATGGGTCTGCTTAAAAAATAGATACAAATATGGTTCTGCTTCAAAACTTTCAGACATTCTCATTTCTTTATTAGACGACAGTTGATAGCTATAATACCATATCACTTTTTAGTATTAATGTAGTAACTTTTGGTGACAGGTTTTAGTTTCTATGTAAATAAGCATAAGCACTAATCAGTTTAATATGCTTGTTTTAGCTTTATAGTGATAGAAATGATTGGGACCGAGATTTTAATTCCAGGCGCAATGGGAATGCTTCAAAAATAAATAAATAAATAGATAAGTGATAACAGTAGCCTACAATAAAACTGATACATGCGGTCATGTAACGTAAATTGGTCAATAATTTACCTTGTCATCATTGTCCATATCATGTGTCACAGTTATACTGACGCTGGAGAGATAAAGGGATATTTCTGCCATTGTTATTGTGTCCAGTGCAGTAACTTCAACCTGTCCTGACTCCTGAGCGAGCGTGTCCATCACTACATCACTCCTAACGTCACAGCAGTCCAGCCAGTCCCCATGCGCAGACCAGCACACATTATCACATCTGCGCCATCTACAGTTTGGGAGCGTAATTTATTTTAGCCTACATTTCTTTGTTTTATTAATAATAAACAACCATTATCAACGTTAAACACACCCACAATAAACTCACAGGATAAACTCACACAGAGAGAGAGAGAGAGAGAGAGAGAGAGAGAGAGAGAGAGAGAGAGAGAGAGAGAGAGAGATTAAAACTTAGTTTTATGCATAATTACTAGGGCTGGGCAAAAATTGATTAATCATCGATTAATCGTTTTTTAAAATGTGGTCGATTCAAAATCGATTCTCAACGCTCAATCGATTTTTTCCATATAAAGGGCTCGCGGACGCGGTGCTGCATCTTCTCGTCTCTCTGCAGTAGGCAAGCGCCAAGCGCTAAGCGCTGCAGCTGTCAATACACACTCACACTCGCGTTTAGGAGTCGGGACACGACGGAATATTCACTTGCACAATCGGGCCAGCATTGCATCGTAACCTATGATCGTAACTAACATTTATCATTCATTTGCTCAAGCAATGTTAAACCATCCCGTGCTCGCGCACTCTCAGAGATTTCTTTCACTGCGTGCACAGCCTAAATCCGCCTCACAAACAGCTCGCCAGAAACAAAAGTTTTATCCCTGGATTATATCGCTTTAACAGTTAAAACACGCAACATTATGTCAAAACTCTGGTCTTGGTGAGTAACCTCGTAAAGACAGTCGGTAATGTCTTAAATTAGCATTAAACGCGTGTGACAGAAAGTTAATGAAACAGTAATGGATCCGCGCACTAGTTCTTAAAGTGAACGCAGCCATTTGTGTCAGTCATTAATTCTGTTGTCATAACAACAGAATATAGTATTAATTGTAAGCAATCAGAATTAATAGCCTTTGTATTTAATTCAGTCTGGACTAAAAAGAGTATCCAGTGTTATTTTACATTGGATTACTTTATTCAGTTTCTGTAGTATATCTGACATACCCAAAAAACTACCCCAAAATGTCTCTTAATTTTTGTCTTTATTCTATTGTATTTATTTGTGCTACTTTTTTCAATTTAATTCAAAGATTGAAATCAAGCATCCATACATAAACTCTTAACAAAAAAAATACATTAACATTTAGGTAAGATCAATGTAAATTTTTGTTAAATATTTATATTTATCTATCTTAAACATAAAATAACATGATACTGTTTGATCAAGCTGTGCGACTGTTCTGTGCGACTCTTTTTTGCATATTGCATCAAAATCTTTGTATGCATTTAGTGTACCTAAAATAAAAAGTGTTTTATATATAGGTTTATGGCTCTTAATTTTCTTGTATTAATTAACCACTAGTAAACTTATGTCCACTGTTCTTTTTTATAAATTATAAATATAGGATTTTTATTACATCTTCCTTGTAGTTGAATCGAGAATCAAATCAGGAATCGAGAATCGAAAATCGAAATCGAATCGAACTGAGAGCTTGCGAATCGAAATCGAATCGAAATCGAAATGTGAATCGATACCCAGCCCTAATAATTACATGCAATTAACCCAACAGAAGTACATGTAGTTAATTAGGCTAATATTACTCAGAACGTAAATGTATAATTGGAGTGCAACATAAACACTTAAAAATAAAGTGTAACAAAAAAATAAAGATTTATATAAATAACAAATATTAAGACATATAAAAGAAAATGATAGTAAATTAGATTCAATTTAACGGGGTTATCAAATATACATTTCAAGTGATATAGTGTTAAGGCATTTCAGCTTCTTTGAGGGTTAAAATAAAGTTTTGTAATCATTTTTAAATGCCACAAAACTTGCAGCAACTAAAACTAATCTACATTTGTGTAAATCAAATCAAAATGTCATTACCCCAAAAACGTAACTATAACCAAAAAATTACACACAAAAAAAATCAACCTCAATGCTTTATTAAATTTGATATGTGCCGAGTTTACCTCTAAAATATTTAACTGAGATAATATAATTCCTTTCTTGTTTGTGATGATGCAAACAGTACTTAAAGACGCAAAGTGTAACCATTTGTAGTCATGAATGTTTAATCATATATAACACGAAATAAACATTCAATAACGAATCCTAATCAGATATGGCATCCACATTGATATCGCTTTAAGTAAAACTAAAAGAAATTAAACATCACAACTGAAATACTCAAATAACATATTTGAACTATATCAACAGTCCTCGAGAAATATAAAAAAAATGTTTCGAATTTAAAATAATAATCGATTTGCGAAAAAATAAACAATTTTCAGACAGCAATGCTACATTATAATAATTATGAAAACAAAACAAACATACATAACATCCAGTATCCAGAAATCACAACGCTGTCTTTAAATCTAATTGTTAGCCTAGTGGTAAATTCAAAATTTTATGGGAAAAAAATGCAATAATCATAATAAAGGTTTCCCTGTCATTTAGTTTTCACCACAACTAACTCACTCATCATCATCATTTAATCTCAACCTGCTCATTAAGAAGGTCAAGAAAAAGGATTTTACAATTGTTTCCAACTCCAACGGGTCGTCTGTGCTGAAGGCCCAGTCAAGCTTCAAGACAGAAAAGAACAGTACAAACACATGAATATGGTTATTTTTTACATTCTTATGAAACACATGTGCTATTAAAGGGATACTTTTTGGAAATAAGCTCATTTTACAACTCCCCCAGAGTTAAACAGTTGAGTTTTACCGTTTTCGAACCCATTCAGCCGATTTTCTGATATTTAGAAGAATATCAGTAACCAGACAGTTTCTGGGCCCATTCACTACCATTGTAGGGAAAAAAAAATTACTATGGAAGTCAATGAGACCAGAAACTCTCTAGTTACTGATATTCTTTTAAATATCAGAATTTCGGCTGAATGGATTCGAAAACGGTAAAACCCAGCTGTTTAGCTCTAGGGGAGTTGTAAAATGAGCCTATTTCCACCTATTTCCAGGTGTTTAATGTCACACAACATTAGGATAATCATTCAAATATCCCACATAACTTGTAAAAGGCCTTAGCGATAACCTGACACTAAAAACACGTACCGCTGCTCAAGTCCATCAGAGATTGCAGGATTGAGTCTTCAGTCACATTATCCATGTTTCTGGATTCTCCTGGATTTTCTATTTCAACACAAACAAATCTGAAGTTACAAGAATGTTTTTATTTATCAATGCCTTTCCACCACATTTGCTGATGTTGTTTAATATAATTTACATCAACACAAATTTACCCAGCACAGCTTGTCCATGCGCATCAGTCAGCAAGTTGGATCCAGAACTCTTTCTTAATCTGGTACTCGCTCTGTTGGCCTTGTTTTCATTATAGTGGTGAACGATGTTCCTCATTAGAAACACATGCGCTGATGACAAAGACATGAAGTAGTTATTGTTCTTCAGTTTAGCAAATAGTTGCCCTGCAACTTCACTATTCATTTTGCCGGCCAGCTGAGGCACGAGCGCGAGTTTTCTCAGGACATCCGTGCCGTCTTCTGAGTTGCTTTCATGAAGCACGTAATGATCAGACGAACCGGTCGAAGGGTGTCCGTGAGGATCTGTCATTTCTAATTTTTCACTCAGCCAAGGCAGGGATACGCTCAGCCGTGCACGTTTGGCAAGTTCTATGTGTGCTTGAGTTGGCTCCACCAAGAGTCCTTCAAAAGGAGATATGGGAAGCTTTTCCGGGGCCCTTAGATTGGTGTGCGTAGCAAGACTCTGCGCAAAGTCATAAATCATGACATTCGGCATATGTTGCCATGATAACAGCAAATCGGCAAAGTCTCGAGGGCTCGCAGCTCGGAGATTGCATTTTAGACTGTAGACAATTCCACATGGGCACATGATGACTCCCCAGCCTCCTAAAACATGGACAGAAAAACAGAAGGGGGAAAATATATGTGTCACGGTGCGGGTGCAGGCAGAAGAACAGGCTGAGTTCAGAATCTCGATAAAGAGCCATTTAATTCAAAAGACAGGCAGGAGGACAGGGTTTCACAGCGTAACATTCAACATTGACCGACAAAACTGAATCAAACTGGACTGAACTAAATACACAGAGGAATAAGGCTAATTGAAGTGCAAATAGGTGAAAATGATGATGAACAGACGAGGAACAGGTGGCTGATGAAGGAGTGAGATCAGGAGAGGAGACAAAAGGAGCCGGGGAAGCGTGGTGCAGATGACGGGACAAACAGGTGAAGACAAAGACTGTGACAATATGACTTTAGAAAGTAACGTTTAATAATAAAATGAGGGTTTGAGACAAATTGAAAAAAGAAAAGAAAAAACTTTTACATATGTAAATCAATTTCCTTTATTAATAATATATATATATATATATATATAAAAAATACACTACTTTTTTTAAAAGAAACTTGCATTACATTGTTCAAAAGAGACAGTAGACTTTTATAATGTTAAAAAAAGACTTTTCTTTCCATTCATCAAAGAATTCTGGAATGCACAAAAATATTAAGCAGAAACTGCTTTCGACATTGTTGATGGTAATAAATATTTATTGAACTTTAAATCATATTAGATTAATATGTAAAGGATCATGTGACACTGAAGTCTAGAGAAATTATGTTGAAAATACAGCTTTGATCACAGTAATCAATTACATTTTAAAATGTATTGAAATAGAAAACAGTTCTTAAAAAATGCGATATTATTTCACAATATTACCGTATTTTGTTGCATTTATGATCTTTAAACAGTAGTGTATATTTTTCAAGGTAAAATGTATTTTTACAAATGTGATTCATTTTTAATTATTATTTTTTATTAATTATTTTTAATTAAGATTAATAATTCATTTTTATTATTTTAATTATTAATTCATAAATATTTTATGGGGAAGTATTTTTTAAAACCAACTTTGCTTTATCTTTAAAATATTATTACATTATATTATATATATTATATGATTATATTATTTTAGTTCAAATTGGGGTCTGCAGGGATCCTCTCTATGATTTAATTTCCTGTTGAATTTTTAAAAAAAATATTAGAGGCAGTTAATATATATATATATATTTTCATTTTCATATATCAGCCCAACGCGTTCTCATCCCAAAGCGTAAATATTTTTGCAAAAGCGTAAATATCCAACGCACATGGCACCCTTTAACGTCTAATGAGACGCTTCGGTTAATGGTTAAGTTTAGGTATGGTGTAGGGTAAGGGTTAGACCACTAGGGAGCGCCTTCTGCCCAAATATATCTGCATCTCATTTCACGTTAAAGGGTGCCATGTGCGTTGGATATTTACGCTTTTGCAAAAGCGTCTTATATGGCGCTTTGGGATGAGAACGGGCTCATCAGCCATATAATACCACAATAACATAAATTTACTGGAATGCAGTTAAAACAGTAGAGTAAACACTAATCTCACCAGAGCAACTCCAGATTTTCGAATAGATTTTTTCACATGTTTTCCTGGATTTCATTTCACCGGCCAATCTAAGAAGGAGATCACTGCGAGATCCAGTGGAGTCCACACCACATTCGTTGCATAAACCTCTAACAACATCATCCTATCAAAAAGAATATTATTTCAAAAATGTTCATTTGTATTTATTAATTAAAAAATCACTAAAAGTGTTTTTCCACTCGTAAAGCAAACCTTCTGTTTGAAAAGTTCTTCACTGAGACTATCCTCTGTAACTGCCATTTCTAAAACCTCTGACGCAGACTTTGAAGCACGAACTTTCTCAAACTCTGTGTTCAGCACAGTGTCCGACTGCCGTGTGTTCTTGCCTATCCAAGGAGCCCAAAAGTGATAATTTGTTGGAACTACAAATGGATTGTGTCCACCATCTAAAACAACAGGGGGGAAAACATAAATCCTAAGACGCATTCTTTTCAATAGTTCACAATATAGTGTAATAAGCACTGTATGAGTATGTACGAGTATGTACTTTCAACAAGTCCTTGACAGATGATCTCTTTGGATAGTGCCTCCCAGAACTTTTCCAGATTGACCTCCCCTTTAAAATTCTCAGGTGGTTCTTTAATGTCATTTTCTGAAAGCATAACAGGAGTATTTCACAATGACAAAAACCACATGTCCAAAAAAAGTATCAAAGATGAAGAACATTATCATTTTACTACCTGATAAGTGAGAAGTGCTCGGTTTGTGAACACCCAAGATCACCACCGGGGGATGATCGCCACAGGAGGGGCATGAATACTTGTGTTCATGATCTGTGAGGGCTTCAAACTGTAAATATGCATGCAGAATTGTGTCTGGAGGTGGAAACTCCACACCTGTCATGAGCTGTAAATATTCAACTGCTCTGCTCACTGAAGTATGAACCTAAGAAAAAGTACAACAAAAAAGAAGAAAGTTTCAAACTCTTTCAACATTTGAATGTTATAAATAAACTACTTGAAGGAGTAGTTCACTTTAAAAAAACTTTTGCTGATAATTTACTCACCCACATGTCATCCAAGATGTCCATGTCTTTCTTTCTTCAGTCGAAAAGAAACTAAGGTTTTTGAGGAAAACATTCCAGGATTTTTCTCCATATAATGCACTTTACTGGGGACCAAACGGTTCAAGGTGCAAAAGACAGTTTCAGTGCAAACTGCAAACTGTTCAAAGGGCTTTAAACGACTCCAGATGATGAATAAGGGTCTTATCAAGCGAAACGATCGGCCATTTAAAAAAAAAGTTCAAGTTTTATAAGCACAAATGCTCGCCTTGCTCTGTTCTGTGATTGTTTAAAGCCCTTTGAACTGTTTGCGGTTTGCAAAAATCTTAATTTCTTTTCGACTGAAGAAAGAATAACATGGATATCTTGGATGACATGGGGGTGAGTAAATTATCAGCAATTTTTTTTTTTTTTAAAGAGAACTACTCCTTTAAACACATTCATCTAAGTGGCATACTCTTTGTATGCCTTGTGAAAAAGAAGTGCACTTTAGCATACTTTTGTATAGTTCTTAAAACGAAAATAATGAATGTATTTTTCAGATACTTGCATTACAATTAAATGTAAATGTATTATAGTTAAAATTATATTAAATGCAACTGTATCTGTCTTGAAATATAGTTAAATACATTTGCTATTAAAATATATTCTCTATATATTGATGACGTGTAATATTAAATGACACTCTGCAGTTAAATTATAATTAGGTACTGCTGTATGATAGTCAACACAACAAAATATGTGTACTTCTTTAAAGCATGACAAAAGAATAATCATAATGATTTAAAGAATTCTTTGAAATATTCATCAGGGAACTTCGCAACAGAAGTGAATCATTCAAAACTAACTTTACTATTTACTTTCTATTATAACTGTAAAGTTGCCTTGAAACAATCCATTCTGTTAAAAGCACTTTATAAATGAAGGTGACTTGACTTGACTTCAAGTACACTTAAAGGTATTGTTCATAGTAGATACTAAATTAAATCTGTTCGTCATATAAAAGGATCATTTGGACTAAATTTGGACTAAACCGCTCAATTCATATGGATTCGTTTTATGATCACTTTGTGACATTTTTGACATTATGACATTTAAAGTGTCAGATGCGTTGCTGACTATGGAGAGTACAGAAATTTCTCAAATTTCATCAAAAAGATCTTCATTCGTTTTGCGAAGATGAACAAAACTCATACGGGTGTGGAACAACATGATGGGAGTAATTAATGACAGAATAGGTGAATTTTTAGGTGTACCATAACTTTAAGTTGCCTTTTTCTACTCATATATTATCCATATGACTTTAAATTGGATGGAAAAAAGGTTCAAAAATCAACCAGTTTTTATATACTATTTTTAAAAAATTATAATGAAATAATATGCCAAACTACTTAAAGGGTTAGTTCACCCAAAAATGAACACTAAGTCATTAATTACTCACCCCCATGCTGTACCAACCCTGGAAGACCAAATGAAGATATTTTTGATTAAATCTGAGAGCTGGATCAGTCCTACATAAACTTCCTAAGGGACTAGCACTTGACGGTCCATAAAGTCATTAAAGAAAATGTTTAAATATTCCATGTGCCTACAGCGGCTCAATTATAAGTTTATTAAGCGACAAGAAAACTTTTTGTGCGAAAAAAAAACATAAATAACGACTTTATTCTAGGGCTGCAACAACTAGTCGATAAAATCGATTATGAAAATCGTTGTCAACGAATGTCATTATCGATTAGTTGGTCTGATTACGTCACGGGGATTGTTTACATGGAACATGCGCTTCTTACATGCGCTTCATGAGGCGCACATGCAGTCTCTCTACCTCGCCGCTCTACCCTGTCTCGCGCGCGCAACACGGTTTTTCTTTTCAAAATGGTTTTTCTATCTTGCTTGACTTTTATTGCTGTAACTTAATCACTTTCTACTGAGTGTCTGTTAGATCACAACACTATAGTAGAGTCGGCGCAGTATAATTGTTCTTCACGTGCATAGTAGCCTAACTGAAATTTAAAACTGTTAAAAGAAAAGGCTTAATAAACTATTGCATAGATACTGTATAATACACAGTCAATATGTCTTTCTCTTTCCTTGGTGCTTTTAACTTTAATGCGGCAGACACTAAAGAGCTGCGCGCCGCCCTGTGACTCCGTGTTGCTTCAAGCGCATCATTCAGCGCTCGCGATGTGCATTTGCACTCTGTGCAGCTCTTTCATGATCATGTCATAATACTTTTGCGCAATGAAAGCTTATTAATAGCCTTTCTTGTTCTGTCCTATCTATTATATTTTGCTTCCTCACTAAACAGCTGTGATTTACATTTAAAACAGCTGTGCATCTGATTTTTACGATGTTTTTCATGAATGTATAACAACAATACAAAGAGCAACACGTTTTAAGTTAGTGCTACACTTATTGTCTCTTATTTGTTCCCCACTAAGGAATGTTTTTTTCACTAAATGTTTAGATTTTATAAAATTATTGTGCACTTGTGATATTTCTAGGCTAAGTTTTGCTGAGTTATCCACTAATCTAGTTTACAATAGCATTTTTGTCATATGTTATGGTCATATATATATTTTTTTATTTGTTGTTTTTCTTTATAATGAAGTTATCTGTATTAAGTAGATTGTTTAACACACAAAAGAGTGTGGTTTTTAGGGTTTTATTTTGTTATAATAAACAAAAAAATGAAATATAATTTTTTATCCGATTAATCGAAAAAAATAATCGTCCGATTAATCGATTATCAAAATAATCGTTAGTTGCAGCCCTACTTTATTCGACTATTCCATTACTTCCTTATGGGCCTTGAGACGAGAATTTAAGATATTTCCAGAACGCATGCGCGAGAACTGAGACGAGGACGTTCTTCTTCGACTACTTCTTGTTACCGGCTGCTCACCGCTTAGGAGTATTACCGCCACCGTATTACGTGCTAGTCCCTTAGGAAGTCTATGGAGGAGTGATCCAGCTCTCAAATTTAATCTTACGGGGTTGGTACAGCATGGGGGTGAGTAATTAATGAGATTTTTGGGTGAACTAACCCTTTAATAATGATTCATTTTTAAGAATTTCCTTCTATGATAGAAGAACAATTGTTCCACCAAGACATTTATGACTATATTTTTTAGGGATGCACCGATACCACTTTTTTGGAAAATGAGTACGAGAACTTGCATTTCAGTACTCGCCGATACCGATACCGAGTACTTAATAAAAAAAAATTAAAAAAACATGATTTAAATATTTTTATATACGGGTTTTTAGGTCATTGATTAAATTGCTTGGTTAACACTTTATTTCGATAGTCCACTTTACTAACTATAAGTAAGTTTTCAATTACATGTCAACTAACTGTCATTAGAGTATTAGTAGACTAGAGTATTAGTACGATCAGCTTAATATCCGATAACACTTTATTTATTTGGTCCCCCAACAGACATTCAACTGACTATAAGTAACTTGGCGACTACAAGTAAACTTATTCTCCTAACCCAAAGCCATTCACTTTGAAATTGTTCCACATGCACGGGTTGATCCAAAATGAGCAGGTGCCTGCGCCGCGGTCACCCGCGGTTACCCGCAGTTACGGGTCATCCAAAAATATTTTTAATGATATTCGGGTCGCGGTCGGTCAGGTCTTTTGGAAAAAGATGCCGATTAAACCTTTGTATTTATTAGGGATGTCCCGATCCGATCCACGGCATCGGTATCGCGCCGATACCGGCCCAGAACGCTAGATCGGAGATCGGATGGGAGAAAAAAATATGAGCGATATCCAGTTTAGCGGCGCAGCCTGTCACGTGATGATTGTTGTGTTTACGCACACGCGCGCAGAGAATCACTCTCGCTTTGCGCACCTATTCTAATGTAATCGGATGATTCCACCCACAAAAGCTGCATTTCAGTCTTTTCAGAAATTCATTGGCTATCAGAAAATAGCATCATTTCATTCTCTATTGCAACTGGATAGATAAACTGTCACTCAAAGAGAGGTAGGTACCGATCTTCACCAGGCACGCTCGTTGGCTGTTAGAGTTTAGAAGACACCCCTAACACTCGCCGATTGGCTAAAATGACCTGTCAATCAATAGTTCATGGGTCAGCGGCCATTTTGACATTCTTTTTTCTCCAATGTTTACGTTTCAACTGAAGTTAGACGGATCAATAGTGTTATATACGTTCACACCGGACGCGAATCGCGCGTCAAATTCGCGCCTGACGCGTCTAGTTTGACGCTTGACCACTAGTGTTAATTCGCGTGTCAAGAGCGAAACTGGCGCGCGTAAAGTTTGAAGCGAAATTTACGTGTGTGTCGCACGTCAGAATCAAAATCCGTTGGCGGTCATTGTTTTTATGTCGACCGAGCTTTCATCGAGAGAGTTACCGCTCTGTATTTACTCTGGATAGCAGAACAGCGGCGTGGGGATCATCGTCGCCGTATATTTGTGTCTACCGGACCCTTCGGAGCCGAACCGTTTGGCGAGTTTCACCATTTGCTCGCTCCAGGAGCTGCGCTGGATGACGGCCGCTGTCAGCGGTACTTCCGCCTGTCACGCGCCCAGTTTGATGACCTGTTGTCCCGCATCTGAGCGAGGATCACCCTCGCCCGGCCCCTCATCCATCTAATCTAGCTGTCATTTATTTTTGTTTTTAAAAATAAATAGAGCCAGCCTTCAAAAGTTATTAACCTGTCCTGTGATTTTTTTTCTCTCTCTCACGTCCAGACACGAATTTATGCACATATGTTGATTGTCTTTACAACATAATACTATTTCTAGATATGGAATGAATAACATTCAATACAAAATGAACATGTCTCCATATAGAGATAATGTTTTAAGTGATGAAACATTTGCTTTGTTGTGCATAATCCCACCATGCATTTAGTCATACAATACAAAATAATTTATTGAAGCATCCAGACACTTCACCACGTGAGCAAGCAGCTAGGCTCCTGATTGGTTAACGCGGCGCGAATTCACGCCAAAGTTCAGATTTTTCAACTCGGGCGGCAGACGCGAATTCGCGTCAAACGCGTGAATGCACAACGCTCAATTCGCGCCATTCGCTCCAACTTGACGCGCGAATGAGGCGTATTCGCGTCTTTCGCGCCGCGCTCCACGCCTCATTCGCGCCGCAGGAATTTTTCACGCGCGTAAAGCGTCTTTGCATTGAAATCATTCGCGCCTGACGCCCTATTCGCGTCCGGTGTGAACGTAGCATTAGTGCGTCGAAGTTGTGATAGCGCTGTCGGCTAACGCGAAATGCTACTATTTACATTCCATGGATGTTTATTCATATATACAATTGTTTTGGACTAAAAACTTCTTCAAATTGGATTGTATGGACGCTTTACAGTGAAACCAAACCATTTTTGTTGGAATGTGGACTAACAGATGGCTAATTGGTGAGTTTCTTCCAGTTTGTGTTGGTTTGTTTTGGCTGTTGGTGGTCTGACAAAGAGACAGATTGTGCCCGCTGTGTTGATTGTATCTTAAAATGGTTTACGTCGTTCGAATCACGAGTTTCTCAGCTTTCCAAAGATATGTATTATGTTTACTTTTGTGTTTGTTTTGTTTTGTCTTTCACAAAGTTAAACCTATAAACCACCCTGTGGGCCGTATACGGCACGTCGGACCACGGAAAAAAAAATATCGGACTAATATCGGTATCGGCAAAAGCCAAAGGTGCGGCATCGGTATCGGTATCGGAAGTGAAAAAGTGGTATCGGGACATCCCTAGTATTTATATAGTACTAGATACAATTTTCTATGAAATATATAGGCCGAATTTATTTATTGGCTGAATAACTGGCACGAAAATGACACACAAGCTCAGTCTAAACAGTTCTCAGTTCTCTACTGGTGTGATCCGAGAACCGCTGTACCTGTGCGTTCGTTACTACGCGGATGTGCAGTATCAGCTGCTCGTGCTCATCACTTCTCTCAGCTGTGGCAACAACATGTCTCAGTTCAGTGAACTGTTAGAGTTACTGGAGTAAGATATAATTCGGGATATTGGTTTATTTCAACTCGGAGGGACTGTCAGGCATGTCTGAAAGTGAGTAACTTTAGTAACTTGTGGATCAGCACTGACGCAAGACGTGAACTGTTGCGAATGATTCAGTTCGATTTAGCGTACTGGTTCGAACGATTCATTAAAAAGAACCGATTCGTTCACGAACCGGCCATGTCTATGATCACTAGTCTGCAGAGAGATGGAGGCGGCAAGAGAAAAGGTGAAGACTGGGGAGTGGAAGCTCCGCAAATACACAAATGGAAAGAGTAAGTGTGGGAGACATTTACCGAAATAATGAAAGATGATGACCAAAGTGCTGCCTTTGTTATATGTAGGCTACGTCTTCTTACGATGCTGTGTTGTTACACGTTTATGGCCCAATGACGCTACGATGAGCATGTACTACTTTTAAAAAATACGGTCAGGAAGAGGGTCGGGTACAAAATTTTCTTACTTTTGTTGCGGCCCGAGTACGTTGGTAGTGTGCGGGTTGTTTATACATTGACCCGCGGATCACTGTTCCACACGGCTGACATGTCTCCCAATCTCCCCGCTCTGAGCTGCAGCCGGAGCCTGGGGGTGGGCACTCGGCGCCTGTGATTAACCCATTTCTCAGAACATGGTATCGGTCCCCGGTATCGGGGGACTTTTAACGAGTACGAGTACTTTAGAAAATGTGGTATCGAGGCCAATACCAGATACCGGTATCGGTGCATCCCTAATATTTTTAAAATAAATTAATAGATAAGACAAAAAACAAACAAAAAAAAAACATATCACTGAGTCTGTAGAAAAACAGTACCTGTAGAAGGTTCCTGAAGGATAAGCACAAAGGTATGTCAAGGATGATGTGATCATTGAAGTTATGGAGGCCGTCTTTCCACTCTTGGTAGCGATAAAACATCCCGCAATGCGGGCACTGCTTACAGAAGGTGGCAACATCTAGCAATTAAAACAAATATTACATTACAGGACAATTTAGCTGAATAGAGCACAAGCATAAGGGCAACATATCATACCTTCAATAATGCACCAATTGGTCAGTATTTTGGCGTTCTGTGTAATTAGCATAGGATCACTGAGAGGGACTTCGCCTGGACATCCCTGACATAAAGTTTCATTCGGACAAAGATTTCGTGGGTAATCCTTGCGTGCCGATGGAATGTGCATATCTTCTGGAAGAACAGCAGGAATCTTTTTGATCTGAAGAATGTAATTCACCATATACTCCAGCCCCAGACCCTTCGGGGGATACACATGAATGTCGTCTGTGATGCTTCGTCTTCTGAATGTGGCGTGTTGTGTGGTGATCCATTAGTACTCAATAGCTCACGGTGCGTTTGAAAAAGGTGCCATTTGGCAACATACTTGTGTAGACATGAGCGTCGCACTTTGGTACAAGGACAGTGCCACGTGTTAAATTGAGTGTTATAAACAACCATGACACGGCCCAAACGACTATACGAGGACACACTGGGCTCAAAACCGAAATAAACATTTTTGTTTTTTGAGGCGCCGATCGAGGTGTGAACGGAAAGTGGTACGCTGCTACTATTGGCGAGCTGTTGCAGAGCAAGGCACTCTTTCTTCTTTTTCTCGCTGAACAATTTTCCTCTCACTATCGCCGTTAAAACCTCTTCCTCGAGCGAGACCGTTCAGCCAAAGACTTGCAAAAGCTCGCTGCACTGATATGCACACACTGGTATGATGTGATCCCACTCCTCTGCGCGATATCTATGTTAACCTGGCACTCGTTCGATTCGCAGAGAATTCTGTGGTTTTCCCCCATTGTCTTGTATTGTACGTGAAGCGGGACGCTGTGGCCTTTTAGAATTTTAAGAACTGTAAATATCCCATTTGTTTCATCTATACACTCGCTTGTAAGCTGGAATGTGTCACCAATGTCCAATTCTGACTGATCCGAGTGTTTCCGTTCTATATGTTTTTGTAGATTGGTTTTATTGACGAGGATACTACACACTGGGCATTTCTTTTTAATAACAGGCCCGCACACGAATTTTTGCCTGTACTGGTGGGTGATGATACATCTTTCATCCTCAAAGCAGTCATGTCTATAGTGGGGGTTGAGGGTCCATCTTTGATCCCTAAAGCGGTCACGTCTGTACTGGTGGTTAACGGTCCATATTTGATCCCCAAATCAGTAACGTCTGTACTGGTGGTTGGCAGTGTGTAAGTGTGCATGAATGCAGGAACGGCCCCTGTTGTATTGATGATTGACGGTGTGTTTATGATTGAAGGAGCGGTCACTGCCGTACTGGTGCTTGACATCATTTTTCTGGCTGATTTTTC